CAGAAGCAAGTCCAGGCTGAGAACCTGTGTGTGAGCAGTCCCAGAGCTGAGGTCATACCTGGGCCTTATTAATGCAGAGAACCTCATTAATCTGAACACCTTGGGACCACAGAACCATCAGAATTAATGAAAGTTCCTGTTGCCGGTGTGTAGTCATAACTAGTGCAAGGACATATTTCTGTTTTTTTTTTTCTGTAACAGAGTATTTTGGCATTAAAAAAAAAATAGAGAGAGTGCACTAACTATAAACATCCTCCTGGAAGCCACAGCAGCCGCTGACTCAGGAGCAGGTTAAGTTTTGACTAATTGAGCTGCTTGGATTAGCAAATTCTGGAATAATGGTGTTGCAGGCTCTGAGAAGCAGGGAACCGCAGATATTGATTCTCATGGGCTTTGGAAGGAACTCAGAATCAAGTCAGAAACTCTTAGCTAAGGCCTTTTCAAGACTGGACTTTTGAATATTCAAATCATCTGCTCATTATTTTTAGTCTATCTACAAATTTTCTCTGCCTAAAAGTGTACTGGTTTTGGCAGGGACAACAGTTTGTCCATTGGCTTCCAGGCACAGTCAGAGGCAAGTGGTCAGCATCTCAGAAATGATTTACCGAGGTCTCAATGTCTCCTGTGATATCATGACTATTTATTTCCTACGGAAATGATCTCCCTGGCAAAATAAACTAGTTTAAAGAACAAACGTAAACTGGAAACTGCCAAGTAAACACTTATGAAGAACTGAGTAATAGATTTACACACTGAGCTTCTGGTGGTGAAGCAGGACAAAACACTTCCATTTCCCTCTCATTCTGAGATCCCTTGATCATGGAAATAGGATGGCTACAGAATAGCTAGGAATGAGGTGCCACCATGTGGCCAAGCAACAGCTCTCGCCGTTTACTAGAAATCTTCAAGAGCTCTCCCTGTGTGATCAGCAACAGTCCACAGCCCTTCCTACGGAAAGATTTCTGCTCATTCATACGCTTTTCTTCAGTGGTACTTGCCGTGTGGTGGCTCACTAGTCACACACTGGCCATAGCCTTTGTAAGGTCTTGTTCCATTATTGTTATCACTGTAGGAAGATGAATGTATACTTTTTATTCCATAAATTCTCATATTTCCTGGAATGGGTCCTCTCATCTCTTGTCAAGTTTCAGGGTATCGTCATCACTAAGCCATTTAAGTGGTGGTGCCTTGACTTCCTTAGGAAAGAGTAATTCCTAAGTCAAGAGTAATTCTACTGATTTGGTGCAACATGGTTCAGAGTTAGTGGCCCGAAAGGTGGCAAAGGCCCCTAAATGTAGGCTGCTGTGGATGTCCAGCTTTGTGTTGCCTACACCTCTCTGTGGACTTTCTGCACTGTTGAAATAGAATCATTGCATTCATGCATTTGCATAAGAAGAACTGGAGAGAATTTTGAAGACAGCTGTTAGGCGCTAATCTAATATTTTTTCACGCACCTCATTCAATCCTGAGCAGCAGATAACCATATATCTTTATTATGCATTACCTTGGAGGACTTCCTGCGTTACTTAATGCAGTGCTGACACCTTCTGCCTTCATTATAACTTTACGGCACTGAAAGATTCAAACCAGAGTGCACATCTTGTCCAGTTGCCAAATTTCCATTAGCTGCCTGTATTTCTTCTGTTTCTGTCAAAGACACTTATGATTTCAGCTCACTTATGTGCTTACACCATCACGGTTACATAGAGCAAGATGCTGGACACAAAAGGACATAATAAATAAAATGATTTTGAATTCCCCAGGATATGATTTCTTCAACAGACTTCATCTTTGTTTAAATTACTGGTTTCTTGTGTGCAATGTCTTTAGTTTCTCACAGACAGTTGTACATGTGGCATGAGAGAAATTCATACTCAGGATCCCTATAGCGCTAGTACTCCAGCTAGGGGAACTAAAAATACCCCAGTACTTCAGCAGAGCTAGATTTTGAAATGTAAGAGATACTCTCCTRAAGATTTCTCCTGTTTCTCCAATGCATTCTGGGAAGCAGCTTTTGGAAATTAGTGCTTCAAGGAATGCTCACACACAATAGCCTTGATCAATAGAGCTCGTGGTTTATGCACTTCATTATTGGAGCCCAGGGATATGACTGAAAAACCTCACGAATAATCTCTGCAAGGGATCTAGGTCACACAGAGCTCTGTTGGTCATGAATAATTCTGCTGCATGATTTGCATAGCCAGAGCACCTACACTAGGTACTTAATTTCAACACTGCAGTGCCTGAAAACAGCTGCATGTCTCTACAAGGTGGTTTAGAAGTGAGAGAGACTCTTGCATCTACAAAGGCCACATGGAAACAACTCAAGAGTAGGGACTAAGGCATCCTTTTTAAGGACGACTGTCTGCTCCTGGAGACATAGCTGGAACTTGCCCAGGGCATGTGAGGCAGAGGCAGGTTTCTGCCTTGGGGCAAGACATCCACAGCAAACTCATCTCTGAGGAGGCAGTAACATCATCTGGGATATGAGAGAAATGTCCCTTTTTCCCTGTTTTGAACCCTCAGTTCCCACTCCCTAGCAAGTGCCCTCAAGAACAGGCTGGGGCCACTCTCCGTAGCTTTATTGGAGTTGAGCCATGTCCATCTAGGAGAACAACAGAGGTTCAAAAGCCAGAGACAAAACAGAGAGGGTAGACTTTACGAGCAGTTGAGGATGTCCTCACAAGCATCTTYGTTTTCTTTGCTTAAATTAAATTCCCTAAGACATTACTAGGTTTGAAACAAGCTTCAAGAAAAGACAAAAATCAAGAAAACACGGCAACCAAAATAAAGTTATAAATCTTTTTTTTTCTTTCTCTGTCTCTTATTCATAAAAGCAAACACATATTTCACRCTGGAATTTGTGTGCTGGACAGCAGGGGGACCCTTCCTCTCTGCCACAGCAAGAGTGACCAGAGATACCTCAGTTTAGGGGGACAGACAAGAAGTTACCGAGCAGGTACAAGAGCTGGAGTAGTCCTGTTTTACACATCATAGTGCATCCTTTAAACAGCAATAGAAGATTGGTCACTCCAACAAGTAAAACCTTGGCACTATGAATAAGAAGYACAGCCCAGGGTGGAACATCATTGGAAACCTTTTCTTCTCCTTTYATGAGTATTTTTTTTAATCTTCTTTTTCTTCACTATTAGACATACTGCTSTAGTTCTTCAAAAAGATCGTGAGGTATTTTTCTGCCAGGATCCCTGTTGCAAGTTCTAGTACCAGCGAAGATGACCACAGACTCATTAAAAATGTTCCTCAAAACTTCAGCATGAGATTCTGAGAGGGATTTCAGGGTGACAGTTTCCAAAATAACGTAGTTTTAAGTGTCCTCCTCCTTTCACACACACTGAGCTGCAGCCTCSGGGAAGACAAGGGTTTTCAGGGCATGTTGTGCTCTGCCTTTCCCACCCAGCTCAGGGGTCTTGAGCAGGCACATGCCAAAGCTTTAAGGATAGTTAGGGCAATAAGGACAGGACTGGGGAGGTACAAAGGCAGCAGCACCATGTGTGTAGAGAATACTGATTAACTGTGAGAAGCACCAATGATGGGGAAGCAAAAACAAAACCTTGACCTTCAGTTAAACTGTTCACCATGATGTATCAATGATGTTAGTTAAATTGGTTATTCTGAGGAGGATGTAGGCTAGACTGGGAGGAGCAATAGCACTTGTTGAACTKAAATATTAAAGAAATAATTTCTTCCCTTCATAAACACCACTACAAAAAGAACAAAAAATTTTATTCATTCAAGGGGTGGCAGTTCTAAACAGATGAACACATCTTGGCGCTTTCCTGTCTTATGACAGAAAGTGTCCTAAATCTGCAGGATTTGAGAGTAGTATTTCCATCTAAGGGCAGAAATGCTGGTTGAATAGCTCAGACTTCCATGGGGTGCTAGGTCCTTGTCACAGGCCATGCCTTTTTAAATTACTGAACATGAATTAAATAGGCAGAGAATGGGATACAACAATTCCCAGTATCACATGGAAGACATCCCACCTCTAAAGTGAAAGAGTCTGAAGCCAGGAACACCTCCTGATTGTGTTCTTCCAAAAGTTTAGTCTTTAATGAGGAACTTTGAAGAAATCCACTTCTGGATATAAACTGATGCTGATGTAATGGGATTTGTTTGTGAATTGCCTCCCAACCTTGAGAATAATCTATGATCCAATTTGCTCAAACTGTTCTGCTCCAAGACATTACTAAGCTTTTCTAGTGTACACTGAGATGTTTTAAATTCCCAGTATTTAAATAAGGTTAATTCTGCCTGGGGGTATTGAAATAGATGAAAACTAAGAGAAGGTGTGGTGATATTTAAAAAAAAAAAAATGTATAAATTTTTATATGCAATGAATGAATTTCACATTCACCTGATGATGTATCCAAGAGCAGAACCTTTTGTGCTAGCAAGCAGAGTACAAGATACCTTGTTTTTTTTCCAAGACACACTGGAGAAATTCCTCAGAAACTTTCCTCAGTGGTGGTTCCTTCACTGCAGCTCTTTCTGCTTGTGCCACAGCCTCTTGTCAGCGCCACTGGATACTCTCAGATCACAGAGTCAATGATGGCACATTCTAATTTTCACATATGCAAAAAAAAAAAAAGGGAAAACTCTGCTTTGCTGCTCTGAAGTTGGAGACATTGGTGCAAAAGCTGAATTGCTCTGCACTGCTGGAATCAGAAGAAAAGTTACTGCACCAGGCAATCTTTGCATCATTGCTTTCAAGAATAGCACTAGAAAAAGGCTCCTCAAGCTGGAGTTTCCCCCAAACTCAGTAATAAACAAATGTTGTTAGGCACAAAGAACTCGATGAGTTAAAGACTCATACGAGTCCAACACTGGAATAGGCATGGCTTAGAATTTATGCCACACAAAGAGCCTTCAGTGGCTGCACTTCTACAGCGCCAGATATAGTGACAAAAAAAAAAAAAAAAAAAAAAAAGGCATAGTCTCACAGTCACATATATATCTTCAGTTGAAGATGGAATATACTTTCAAAAATCTTTCTTACGTGTTTTGGGCTTGAATTTTAAAGTGTTATATGCCCCTTCCACAGCTTTGGGTAAATACATGGGATGTCTTTCCAATCTCTTCCCRGAGCCAGTGGTTCTCCGCTGGCTGTTTCCTTGAGATGGGTTTTCAGCCTTTGCTGCTTGGGCAGCATCCTGTGAGTATCTCCGGGGAGCACGAAGGATCCAGTTTGAATGTAAACTGTGTTCACTTGTGCTGGTAGCAACTGGAAGACAGAAGATAATCTGGAGTTAGCAGAGTTCAGAATGATATTTTACAGGCATCACAGACTAGGGTGTCTGCCATGGCCTTTTTGGAGGCAACACTGAGTAACCAAACACTTATTAACAGCTTTCAACTTGTTTTCAATAGGGATAGGATTCACCTTATCTAAGATGTCGCTGCTTGAAGTATAATTGTATATATCAGAGCTAGTCTCTTTATAGGCACTTTTAGGGCGCAGTTAATCTGACCTTTTTGATACCTGCTTTAGCCTAAGACAAAGCACTTACAAATGCCWAATTGTCTGGATGAAGAGCTCAGACGGGCACATCTTCATTTAGTCAGGCAAATCTCATTTTTTCTAATGGGAATGTACTAATATTTAGCTAAATCTCTAAATGACTTCTGTTTTGCTAGTTGGAGAAGAAATATTCAGACATTTCTCAATGCAAAAAATTAAGAAACAGATGTCTTTATGTTCTCTATAGCTTTCCTCTAAACATGACTGAGGGTATGAGTGCAAGGCTGCAGTTCAGCTCTAGGCAGAAGGCAAGCACTACTCCTGTGCTCTGTGTGCTACATTTCTTCGTGTAGTGGCCACATATAACATAGTGCACCCTTTCAGCAGGGAGCAAGCAATGCATTACTCTAGTTTCATATAGATGCACRTAATGACCCCAAATACACCCAGTGACCCCAGATTTGTAAAGCAAAATTAGGATGGAAATTGTGTTCAATAATTAAACATAGTCTCACATTGTTCCTCCTCTCTYTACTCTCTGCCCAGAAAGAATTATCATATTTTGGCTGTTTTATACCRCACCATCAAAATCAACATCCACATTTGGCAGATCCATGTCAGGAGCTCTCCGCCATCTCTCTGAATCCAGGTCTGCAATAACCGAGTCGAAGAACGCTATTGCTTCTCTTATATCTGCACCAGTCTGTGGGCCTTTTCTTTCTGTAGGTGTCTGTAGAACAGATAGGTAAGAATTATCTGACCATTGGACAAAGACAATGCAAAAATAGTATGTGATTCAACATTTCAAGCTGTCAGAAGAAAAGATATAGATTGAGTCTGCTCTAGTTTGTAGCCATGAAAGAAAAGAGGATAGTAGTCTAACGAATGTCCATTTTGTCACATGCTTGACACCAAACATTTTCCACTTGGACATTGATGGCCAGGTTTTCTACAATCCCAGTACCAGGCCACTTAATTGGGTGCCTAAGCGACAGGTGAGCTTTGTGATCAAGTTTATTCTACCTAGCATCTAATGAGGCACACACATTAGAACTGCAGTCACAGGGTTTCCTCTAATTAATGCAAGGCGCCAGTACCCTCAGCAGATGAGTCAGGCCTTAGTAGGCTGAGTTCCCCTCTGCAGACAGCTCTTTCTGTTAACTGCAGAGGAATCATAGGGTAACTTGGTTACTAATTTAAGCATCTCATTATAATGCCTGAGTTAGATGAAATGAATCCAGATCTAAATCGCCAGAATTTTTTTGAAAAGGAAAGGGATTGTGTGCGTGAGTCATTCAACTCTGTGATGGCAATTCCCACAGGACAGCCATGAGGTTTAAAATTAGGAGACTATCTTCACAAAAAAAAAAAAAAAAAAAAGTAAATGTCTGTCTATAAACTCTGAAATAGTCCCAAAGCCTTGGTTAGCAATCCTGTATGTCCATGTAGGATGAACCCTTTCTGCCATTTGTGGGGAATCTGCCTCATAAAGGACTGTATATTTTCTCTGAGAGTCTAAGCCAGGCATATTGCCAGGCAGAAATATGAAATCAGAAAATTACTACATTGAGTTTCAAACCTGCAAGGAAAAGGAACACAGAAGGATTAGCTTGCTCCCCGTTCTGTGAGATGATGGGGACAGAGAGATGAACAGGCTTATTCCCCTCCTGCCGTTRTGACTTGATGGATGTCCTCAGAAGTGCTAAAAGGTAACTGTAACCACACTGAGAACTGTGACTGCTGTTATGAATAAACCCTTATTGCTTAGAAGACATTTTAAAGAAACACTTGTTTTTCAAGTATGTGATACAATTCTTTATTTCTCTCTCCCACTAGACYCAAGTAGCTAATTGAAGCCACAGTTGGCTTTGAAGTCCAGGCCTCATTCAGAAACCAAAGGTTAGTTCAGCCCGTTTTTTTATTCACTAAAATCATGGGGACCTGAAGACAGAGATGTCTGCACAATATATTTTCCCGTTAATCATGCAGTAGGGAGGAGAAAGTGAGTTTCCGCTGACAGGTAATTTAACACGAACRGGTACAAACCCATTCAGGCCTTTTAATAAAATGAACTTTGCAATCTGTGAATATAAAGCTTGCAGTTAGGAAGCAGGTGACTCATCTGGATATTCTGGAAGTCTTCTTGATCTYTCCCTAATTTTTGCAAAGCTGGTGCTGTGCTGCTGCGAACCTGCTATGTGTGTTGGCAAGAACGACTCACGGCATATCTTGCTTGCGTCCCTCTCTGTTCCTGAGGGGAAGGCGGGTGCAGTTACAATGCCAGCCTGTATCAGGGTTGCTCTTACATGAGAGCTAGTCAGCTACACATACAGTCAGATGGCAGCCTCAGCTTCTGGGAGACTCATTTGTTTGCTAAACTGGAGCTTCTGACATCTTTTAAATGGAATTTTTAGGGGCAAACTTCAGGAAGACACCACCCTTCATGAAGCCTAGAYGTGCACCATCTGTCATTGGACATAGTTAGGCCCATAGTTGGAGCATCCTTCCAAGCTCATTTTCCCGCCCCCCCCGAGCTGAGTAGTCACGTAGCGCTCTGATATATCACCACTGATCCCACCAGGGAAAGTGGAGTGCTGTAAATCTTCTCTTTATCAAGATGCAAATGTCACTTCACAAAGTGTGTACACATAGTGTGAGAATCCATGCAAGTCACTCCTATACCACAGTCATTCCTTGGGATGTTTCCTTAGCCCTAAATGATTCTTCAAACTATAAAAATCTTTCTTTATAAAAATTTCAAAACTTTAAACTTCAAAAATCTTTACAAAAACTATCTCCTCTAGCCCAAGGAGCTGAACATTGCTTCCTACAATTATTCCTAGCTTCTGATAGTCACTGTTYGAAGCATGACACAAAGCCTGATCAAACCAGAAGGAAGATTCTAACTGACTAAACGTGTATTAGATCAAAATTCAAAATGAAAAATTGTAGATCTAGTCCTAAAAAAAAGGTGAGACTTGTGCTTTGGCTAAGCAAGGTCTGTAACAGAGCTCTGTTTCGGCTATTTTGAGTTTCTATAGTGGCAGAACATGAAATGGGGCAATRGCTTTCTGGTAATGTCTACCTGCGCTATTCAGTAATTCAGCCGTATGTCCCTTCTTCCTGTCATCCCTGTTGGTATCCAGTTTAAGGGCTGTGCTAGGCAGGCTGTGAGTCTGCTGTCAAAGACTGGTTTAAGATCATGTAAGCTGAAGAGATCATCCCTCCTGCTGGAGTCTTTCCCTTTGTCCCCRCTGAATCAAGGCCAGAGCCAGAAAAGCCACAGAGCTTTCAAGCCACATGCACTTCATGAAACGCAACCAGGAAGAAGCTTTGCAATCATTTCCTTTCTAGGATACACTGAGATACCAAAGACAATTTCAAAGTTATTTTGTGGTGTCATTACAGTAAAGGGTGAAGAATTGCACTAACTGCCTCGAAACTTCCTGTCGGTTTCTTAGCTATCATAAAAGAGAGCCCTAAGAAAGCCCCWCATCTGACTAGCTATCGGATGCTCTTGCACTCACAATAAAAGTAGCATTGACAAGCTACCTGATGGGTCATAGGAAATCCTATGTTTTTCAATGTATTTAACATTCCTGTAGGTGATTTTAAAGGTAATAAAAGGGCTACCCATAAAGCCAGGGATTACTGTGCTTGCCAGTCAGTAACAGCTATAAATATCCATAGTAGAGAACTCTGTACCTGACAGAGTGCTGACAAAAACAGCTGTCTTTCAGAATGTATTTCAAATATTTCCCATGCTCCCCTAGCTATTTTCCTCTCTTTTTTTTYCCCTCTCTCTGGCACACACAGACAGATTTCTTCCCATGATCAGTCATTCATATTTGACCTTACACTAGGTTAACAGAATTTTTAAGATATTTTGTAGCATTTCAGATTATGTAACAGTAAGAAGACAATCAGCAGTAGACAAATAAGGCAGAAAAATATGCCATAATACTAATTGTTTCACAGCTTAAAACTAATCACATGGTRAAAGTTCTTAAGAATTACCTTAGAAGACTCTTTGGAAGGAAGAGGAAGTAATGACTTTTTCCCAGTTTTAGATGATTTTGTGGATGCTGGGGAGTCTGTAGCCATATGCATGGATTTTAAGTTATTGATACTGTCAAGATATTTTTTCCTCAAGGCTAACAGATCCTGCAGGTACTTCAAGCAGTCTTGAGTYTTGGAATACATCCAGGCCCTGTCTTCCTCTTTTGGCTGGAAGTAAGCACAGGAGTCGATGCTGGTTGTACTCTTGCATTTTTTCAGTGGTTCACTGATGGTCTCCTGCTCACCACTCAGAACATACATAGAAGTGCTACGGATCAACCTCACTGCAGAGCCCGTGCCATCACAGTAAGGGATATTGTCCGTCAAATTCCTTCGGTGGGAATTGGGATGAAAAATAGAATGGAGCTTTTTGAACATAGTGTGTCACTTCCTCCCCTTTGTACCTCTTCTCTTGGAGCTTCTCAAAGATCTGCTAGCTGCAGAGACAACTTTGCAACTTGTGAGATGTGCATCTAATACTGCTCGATTCCTTTCAATCTAACACATTGCAAAGAGCATGATGGTAACTCAGAAGCAAATGTTCCATTCCAGTCAAACACCTCTGCCCTTTTCTTGGGTTAAGATGCAGTGCACGAGGTCAAGTGTCATTCCTTGTCCTTGCCGCCGGCTGCTCCCCAAACACAGCGTGGGCGCCTGGAGGGGGTCCCCACTAGCGCTGCCCGGACTTTTCCCTGGCGCTGGCCATGGTGCTGGAGCGCGGGCCCCGCCGTGGCCAAGGGGCCCACCAGCCTCTATGCAGCAGCTTTCCTTGGAAGAGCTTCTTGAGAGCAGCCTCGAGCGCCGGGGACGGCCGAGTGACCTGGTGGAGGGATCGTTTCTGTCGTTTCTGCTGGGTGGAATTCAGCTGCTGGCGGAAGTCGCTCTGGGTTTCACCCCGCGGTAACCGGGAGATGGTTACGGCTACCCGACACCGCAGCGCTGCCAGCAAGGCCGGGGATTCAGATGTCGGGATCCATTACACTGAGGACAGAGCCCTGCCGCGAAAGAGACGCTGTAAAATAAAACACTGCTCCAAAATACTCAGCTACCAAAGTAATGCCAAAGAAACCAATGCGTTTATGTCTTTCCACATTTGTTTTTTTTTCTTTTTTCCTTTTTTTTTTTTTTGTGCATTAATGACTGACTATTTCAATACAACAGTCTTGAGGACTTATTTTGGCTGAAAAGTATAGAGAACAGTAACTATTACTGGCATATTCAAGCACTACTAATACACGTGATAGTATAACACCATGATGAGTGCTTMCAGAAGAAGTAGAAAGAGAAATTGGTCAACTCTCAGTGCTAAGACAGACAAGAATTTTTTAAACTAAGCAGGAATGTCCAGGCTTAGCATGCTCAAAAAATTTAATAATTCATGTTGCTCAAGCTTTGRGAACTTCAGAAAAATATCTTTACTTTGAAAGCCCGTGGATACGACCCTGCAGACTCCACTAGGCAAATTCCCACTTCCACTATTGAAAGTGTTGACTGAAAGCTTAAGCAGTCTAAGAAATGTGGGATTTCAGCAGGAGAAAGATAATAAAAATTCATGTTCTAAACACTACCACTGTCTTTACAAAATGTTCACTTTGTCCTTCACTTTTACTTTCATTTAAAGCTAAAATGTGCTTAACACAAAATTTAAAAAAGGAAGTGAATTAGCCCCTTGACACTTTTGCAGCCCTTTATTAGTAGCACACATATGACTCCCACTTCAGTTTAGTGCAGCCTAGAGATTGTTCTAAAATACATTCAGCTACCTGAGATCTAGCACCTGCACAGGGTATTCTATTCTTGGTCTTCTCCCAAAGTCTCATGGAAGCCCCAGTTCATGAGACAAGAAAAATGCATCATGTGCTGTGAAGAGTAAATCTAATGTTATACACTATGATTTGAAAAATTAATTTAATTTAATATGACCCAAACATTTTCCTATCCTACTTCAACAAAACATTTATAACAAATGCTGACATCTCACTGATTTCAAAAGCCGTCAGGCTCTTAAGAAGGTTTTCAGTTTCCAGGATGCTCACTCCAAATTTTACAAAAACTTRCTGGACCAGATTCATTCTGCACCATCATGTTTGTGATTCCTGTTGTTCATGCTGGTTTTAAAATAAGGAGAGCTTTAAAAATTCATGAGTCAWTACAGTAGCTTCACTATATACTAGAATTTCCCTTTAAGTAAATAAAGAGTCATTTACAAGTATTTGAGATGTTAATATTTTATCCAGTACACTGGTTATGGGCAGTGAGGATAAAGGTCACCTTCTATTGTAAAAATGATTATCAATTTGTATTCTTCATTCTGTAATGTAATTTGAATAASTCCATGGATTTAGGAAACTAAATGGCAAAACTATAAATATCTTTAAAGGTCACAATTGTCTCTTGTGTGTTTTGTGAGAAAAGGAATGCTCTATGTCTATTCAAAGTATTTTCTTATAAGGTATTTGCATTCAAACATGTTTCTTAAATAGCACTGTACTTACTTAAGGTCAAACTCCAGTCTTCTGTATTTGTAATTCAGCCAGCAGATATCACTGTTCCCTTCCCTAGTCTTACTGCCAGGGACTGAATACACTACTGCATCTAAGCCTGCTGGTAATTAAAAACCAAAGTGTTATTCCAGAATGATTTCTTTCTGCACAAAGACACTCATCAAGCAGCAAATGTGGTTAAAGAAGAATATTTGGTCTATTAGTTCAGAATACCAAGTTGACAGTCAAGTTTTAAATCATAAATAAAGACCTCCCATAGAAGGGGCTTGTGAGAAGCAGATCAGATGGACCACTCTAAATATTTAATGACATCTAAGATTACTAACTTTGACAAGGCAATATTCGTATCTTGTTTGTTCATTTGGCTACTTGATTTTGACTTAACTTACTGAAGATTTTTCATTTTTGAAGTGTTATCTCTTGTACTACTATTTCAATGCTTCTGTTTTACTTAACCTGTGCCACATGCTCTAGGTGTGCCTGCTTGAGCAGGAAGGTTGGACTAGATGATCTGTAGAGGTCCCTTCCAACCTTAAATATTCTGAAATATTCTGAAATATTCTGAAATACTTTGTAGCTAATGGCCCAAGTAACATAGATTACCCTTCAATGACTTAAAAACAAAAATCTTTTTTATCTACTCCCGGTATTCTGGCACTTCCTGGGCCAACATTTCTGGGAAGGAAAATCCAACTTAGATGTATACAGTCAAATGTACTTATTCTTTTTAACTGTATGRATTACACAGTTGAATAAAAAACATAAAATACAAATATAATTAAAGTAGGTGGATATAAAATTTTCCTGAATGTCAGGGGCTAAAATCACAAAATCACACTTCTTTATCTTCTTTTTTCAATAAATTATCCAGAAAATCTTAGRCTTACCTCTAGAATAACATGATGCTATGTATACAGTTTTGATTGATAGTTACATTTCACCCAAATGACTGATACAAAAGAATGTCAGTTACTGAACCTCATTCTGTTTCAGATGATTCAGAAAATAAAGTGTAAACTCAGGCTATACCTATATAATTAAATAAAAGAGCAGMCTGTGTAGGAGAAAGCCAGCTGAAGTGGCCCAAAACAGACCCAAAGAATTAGTGTACAACTAATTACTGTGCATAGTAGGTATTTATCCCTCATTCTTTACTATTACTTACTGCTTCACRTTTCCTTTAAGTTCTGCAAAATTCCACACATACAAGTACACAATCTCCTGGAGRTGTGTGGAAAAAAAGCAAAAAATGTGGGAATGCTAAGGACACAACCTAATACTAAAACAAATTCTGATACAGGTATACGGTAACTAAAGTGACTCTTGCTGCTTCAAAATCCATACAYACTTGAAAGGACTATCTTTGGAGGGACATTCAAATATCATAGATTAGGTGCTTACTTTTTGGCAAGTGGTGAGAAACAGCAGATATTTGAGGTTCCATACTGCAGGATTCCTGCCTTCCGTTGACTAAAAGGGAAGATAGGATATTGGACCTTGTTAATGGGCAAAACCAAAAGCATACTCAGGAATTTTTGATTCTTCTTCTCTGTCAGCCTGTACAAACAACAGCCTGGAGGAGTTCCACCTCTTCAGAATGCTACCAGGAACCTTTTGGATCYGTCTATTCAGAATTTCTATCAGGATTCTTTTTTATATCTTCTTTAGAAATCATTGATATATCTTAKATGATTGAATAGAAAACCTTATGTGAACAAAGTTCCTCATCCTTCCGGAAGTTCCTAAAGTTTGGGAAGAGACAGCAATTCTGATGTCATATAATTGAAATAATTACTATTGTTTCTCTAAGCTATAAAACTGGAAAAAAAAATGAGTCTCTTAAAAATGTTATTATAATACAAGATTTTAATTTGAGCTAATTTGGATGTAAATCCAGTAAAATCTAGGTGTGCTGCCTATGTCGATCTTTTATTTTTTTGAGGATACGCRTTTGAGCCATGCTGTCACTATGGCAACACCAGCCTGCAAAACCATCTGAGTCATAAAAGGAAGGCTTGTGTCTGTCAGAGGATGCACAGATTTTTTCACTTGTTTTGTTAGAATGCAGCATCATCTTTCTGTCTAGCCTACATCTGAATCTAAGTTTTTCCATTTGACTTAGACCCTGTAAGTTCTCCGTAAGTTTTCACTGCAAGCAGCACTTGCATTCCTTGAATAGATTTGTTGCACCTTTAACACCAACTTCAACCAGCCAAAGGAGTGACTGCATTGCCAGCAAGCATGAGAAGGTTAAGAAACGTCATTTATGTATGGAAATGCCATTTACTTCTAAGAAATGCTTAGCAAATTATTATACAAATGAGTTATTGGTCAACATCTTTTTAATTACCACAACATCTCTGTTTGACAATGTTTTGTGTTCATTCTATCACAAAGCCATAAAATTCACTCTAGGCAAACACTGCTGCTTTAGTGCTGTCTCTATAGCTGTTGCCTGGCAGCATCTTCAGAGGGTGAAAGGTTACCACACTTATCCACTGCTGTATCTAGCCCTCTCTTTTCCTTTGTTGCCTAGAATAACYCTTCTGTCACTAAAAGCTCCATCTCTGTGACAAGCCTGACAAGAGAACTTTTTCTTGTCTTCTGTCACAGAGGGTCAGGGGACAACCAGTTAGCCTCACTTGCTTCATTAGAAGAATCCATGTCCTCTTAGTATAAACATTGTTAGAACCTTTCTAAGCTTTGTTAGTCTTTGTGGAATTAGTCATTCTCTCCCCTCTTGAGTCTTTTTTTCCAAGGGCAGCTGAAGAATTATTGCGATGTCTAGCTTGTTGCCTGTCACATCCATCACCCCTTGATCAAGTCTTTGCCAAAAGAAGGCGACAAATAGTTAAGATTCTTGCATGGTAGCTC